GATCATTTGATTCTAAAATTAATCGCAGATCTCCCTTTTTTATCAACTCTCTCCCCTTTCTCTCCCCTCCCAATTTATTATTCGAAAGAATACACACGACTCGCGCGTATATCATTCTCGTATCTCTGCTGGCTATTGGAGAGCGCGTTTCGCCATGCATCAATCCGCACGCAATCGGGGCTATCCGAGGAAGAGATCCGCGTTCGACTTGGACGGTTAATGTAAGCAAATAGCTCGCGCGCGGACAAATTCCCAGCGACCATATCGGGCCCGGGGCGGGAAAAATCGCTGACGTACGAGCGTGTACGGGGCCATAAAGCGCCCCCGGGTGCAAGCGAGGGGCGCTCGAGACAGGCACGGACGTGGAGGAGGAGGAGGAGGAGGAGGATGGCGACGAGCATTGAAACACTGGCTCAACGTCTCGCCGCCCTAAGATCTATGACTTCCTGAAGGGGGACGTTGCTCTGCCCCCTCCTCTTCAGACGCTTCCAACAGACGACTCTCAGATCGGCTTGATTCCTTTTGGGAAACTAAGTGGTGGATGGATGAATTGTGGAATAGGTACGATCATCTAAGAATGAATATTCTTTTTCTTTTTCTTTCGAGTTACACTCTTATTTTGGCGTATTATTTTCTTCCAATTTCTTTCTGGTTTGACAGAAAAAGAGGTTTTATATATATATATTTATTTTTACTTTTTTGAATTTGAATTTGTTTCGTGAAACTTTTTAAGAAATTTCCAAAGATAAGGGGTTTCAAGTGGAGAGATATAATAGTATGTCTTATTTATTTAGTCATTGTGTTATATTGTAATATTAGATTTAATTGTTTAAAAAATATATATTTTCGCAGAAATATAATAATAATAAAAATGGGGATAAAAATACTGAGAATAATCTGGTTTCGAGTTGATAGAAGGATTCCTCGAATGCATAATATTCAGATTTTATTCACGCAGTTTCATCTGGAATGGAAGAATGTAGTCGATGTGTCATAAATTAGATGCATCGTGCTCGTCGTGTTAGCATAAGCGTACGCAACCTTTTGCCATTTTATCGCTTCAGATACAAGTAATAGACTAGTGATAATCAATTGCGGACCGTCTAATGCTATGCTTCGTACGTAAAGAAAGATAAATTATGATGTTGCCGAGCACGTGTGCTTAAACCAGGAAGTAAGTTGGATCATATTGTTAACGTCGTGAATCGGAAAATATGCTTCTAATAAGCTATGTTTATTCAGCAGTTTTTTTTTCTCTCTCTCTCTCTCTCTCTTCGAGTTACGCTCCATATTTTCCATATTTTAATATTCACATTAAATTAAATGTCAACAAGTGATAAAAGATATAAAAGGAATCGATTCTTTGATTTTTATATATAAAAAAAAAAAATTGTATATAAGAAAAACAAACATACGAAAATAATATAAGAATAAAGTAATTGCGTGATTAAAAAAGATCGATCGAAAAATCAATTCTCAATTCAGAAGATCAGAGATGGAATACAAATAAAAAGAAAATACACGAGAATTCCAAAGAAAAAGATTGCAATGCAATCACGGTTTTAATTCAAAACGATCGATTCTGCTATTTGTTGTCATTTAATTAAGAAAAGGATGGATAAAAGAGAAAAAAAGATAAAAGAAGGAAAAAAAAATTATGTAAATTTTTTTCCAAGTAAGAAATTTACATAATCAAACAATTCCAGTTTCTCAATTATTTTTTGTGGAAAACGTTTATGGCATCATGCTCTTCAGATCGAAACGTTCCAAACGAGCTGTTAAATCAATGTTTGTCTATGAATTTCCGCGATCGTTCAGATTATTAAGAGATTACCACGAGTTCTTCGCAATTCCTAGAAAAATAGAGCTCCAAGTTCGAGTTTCGTTGAACTTTGTTTCCGTCGCGCGTAGCGCCAGCGAGACAAACCTACGAAATCGCGATAGAACATCAGCATACAATGACAATCGTTCATTGTTCCCGCAGTTACGAATTGTCGGCACACACAATCTGCAATTCAATCTGGTATACCACAGTACATGGAAGCATCCAGTGTCATAAAAGCGCGCGAAACCGCGTGAACTCGAGTGACGAGGCATTAAAATTATTGTTAACACTGTTGGCGAAGTGTCTACGATTGATGGTGCCTACTTCCGGTAAATTATTTTTTCGTTGAAGAAAATAGATTCATTGTCCGTTAGACAGATGTTTAGTTTCACAGTGAAATATGATAATTAAAATTGAGGGGCAAACTATATAATAATATCTTTTTTTTTCGAATAATTCGAATTTCATTCAGAGAAATATTTCTTTCTCGAAGATTTAAAAATATGTTCGTGTTTTCTTCGATTCATTATTGGGTCGATATTGAGTAGACGTTCTCTTTCTAAATTTCTTTTTACATACGAATATTTTACCATTTCATTTAACAATTAATTTTAATCTATTTCAAGTTTCCATTCTAATATCTTTTTTTTTTCGAATAATTCGAATTTCATTCAGAGAAATATTTCTTCCTCGAAGATTTAAAAATAAGTTCGTGTTTTCTTCGATTCATTATTGGATATTGAATAGACGTTCTCTTTCTAAATTTCTTTTTACATACGAATATTTTATTTAACAATTAATTTTAATCTATTATATTCAAGTTTCCATTCTAATATTTATTATTATTATTTTCTTTTTTTCCCGTTTCCCTTAAATTATTATGGGGCGAACGTTGCGCTAATATTTCATTTCTAATTTTCTTTCTGCGAATGTCTTCACACGTGACGAAACATTTACTTCATTATCACGTAGGAAACCGATCCTAACATTGACTTTAAATGAAGAAGAGAAAACCAAAACGTCCTCGCACATAGAGAGACAATTTTTCTACACCTGAGCAGCCTTCGTATCTAATTCAATTTCTCTATCGCGTTTCATCGAACCCGAACGATGCCGCAATCGCGACGCCCGATCTATCGAGCGACGCAACGCTCCAACTCGAAACGAAAACGAGAGTGGTACCGGCGTTCAGCATGCAGAGCGTACGTCAGCCAAGGTCTCCGTGGTGGCATGATGTCAGACCGAGTCCATCGCTTTTCAACGGTCCCGTTTCAGCTAGGTTTCCCTGGCCACTTGCCAAAAATCCCCTAGATTATCCGACTCGATGAGAAAGAAAAATCCCTCTCTCGTTCATCCCATAATCCATATTTCTTTCTTCTTTCAATCACCGTCCAATCAAATCGAGCAATTACTTGAAATGACACGAATCTAAATATCACGAACGAGCAGAAATCAAATTTTTCTTTCGATTAGGAATATGATGGAACAGTCTTCTCGATTAAAAAGACTTTTACTCTATACTTTCTCTCTTTATTTATCTTTCCTTCATTCTTTAAAATTATTATTCATTCTTTTAAAATTCAACAATTCGACTTAGTTTCAGACAGATTCCCCTGTCCAAATTATTCACTTGCATTCGAACAAACATTAGAACAGCCTTTCGTAAAAATCGTAACCACCACGATTATAGCGTGACCGATCCCAAAGCGGAAAAGCGGAAATCCCGACATGTGATACATCTATCTTTCCAATTAATCCATCCACGCATGGAATGGATCGACACGTTGGAATAGAAAAGATATTCTCGCGTGGCGGCGGCCGCTTGCTAGAAATAGCCGCCAGAGATCTAGATAACTCGTTACGTGGAACGCGGCGGCCTTTATCACGACGCGAGGAAAACGCGATTTCCCGACGCGATTGGGGGAGAGGGGGGGGCCTTAGTGACCGATCCGCAGACAGGTGTGGTACCACGTAGTGCCAGGGCACGGAATCCAGAGCGCGGAGTCGAGTCATCCCCGGTGGGAAAGTCATCACGGGTGAGGAAAGGAAAGGAAGGAAGCGGGCGCGAGGAAGCGGATTCGTTGGAACGAGGATGACGCGTGTTCCGCGAATCCGCCGCTTGAATCGCGCGCGTATCAGGGTCACTGTGTGCGGACGAGTCACGCGCCTCTCCGAACGGAGGCGGAGAAATATACTCGCTTCGTCTACCGATTTGACGCGTCTCGTAATCGCTCTTTTCGAGATGAAATTTCGAGGATCTCGTTTGGATTCTTATTATTCAGCCTCGGAATTCCAGTCCATTCCATGTTGATCGAGATTGTTCGCATGGATATTTATGGACACATCGTAAATAGAGAATCGATGTACACTCGTTACCATGAATTTTAAGTATATTGAGAAAAGGAATATAACGAGATTAAGTTATTAAAGATATTTTTACAAGTCAAGTTCACAAAGGAAATTTGGGGTTATCAGAATGAAGGAGAATCTTATTTTTTTAAAATAAAAACTTTATTTTTACTTGAATCACATATATGGAACGAGGAAAAATTCATTGAAAAACAATTACGCTTGGCGTAATTTATAAATGTTTGCGATCGAATAATTTTAAATTCCACTTTATATATATCGCTTATATAATGCCAATTCCTCCTTCTTATTGTTCACACCGACATGGAAAAAATCGTTGTCGTAGATCGGGAGTGAAAATTACTTCGACCTCGAGGCGGTTCATCTCCCCACTAATCGCGTTAACTCGCGCATCCGTCATCCGTCTGTCGGCTCTCAGAAAGCGAGATGTTTGCAAGCTCACTTAGCTCGGCAGCGCGACAACCCAAAGGTCGCGGTTTATTCGCGGAAGGATCGAGAAGAATCGGGGGCATCGTCTCCGACCTCGTAGACCATCGTCGAAAAATTTCGGTTCCCAGAAACTCTCCTCCCCCCCTGCGAGAGAGCGTGTATGACAATCGTCTCGATACGGCGCCGATTGCCGCCACGACCGGCCCACGTTCGATTCACGTCACGTGCGGGGAAACCATCGGCATGCTCGCGTTTTTTTTCCCTCCCCCCGTTCGATCCCGCTCCGAGGAAATTGTTCCCGCGGCGAGACACGCCGTGCCAATCGCATTCCCGACGCCGCCAGGCCGGAGGAAACGTTGGCTATGTTGGGCGCGAGGCGAAATTGATCGACGCTGTGAAACCGAGGCGGGGGCCCGCTGGTATACGCGCCAACGTTACATACAACCAACCGTTGTACCGTTTTCGTGCCCGTGCACCGAAATGGCAGTGGGAAAATTTCCGGCCGATACTTGGAACTGGCCGAATGCCGATTAATACCGATATGGATGCGATATATCGGTGTACACGGTGGCCGAACGAATCGGGAGTTAATAACGTGGCGGTTGTTTGGAACGTATAAACGCGAGTGCGAGGATGGTTGTACCTCTCTGTACATACGGTTTTGGAAGTGGCGGTTCAGTTGTTGGTTCAGTCCTTTTTTCGTACGGTTTTTTCCCTCCCCCTCCTCCTTCCTTTGGAAGGAGTTGGCGAGCAAATTTGTCGTACAATGTTTGGGTAATTATGGTAGGGTTATAGTAGCGAGAACGATAAATTATATTCCCTGGTTTCTTTTCACTTTTTTCTTTTTTTTTATACTATATCGAGTCTTCTCGTGGAATTTATTTTTCATTTTTCTTGGATTTATCTTGGATCGAACGAGATTATTGTACAATGCTTTGGATAATTAGGAATTATTGAGAAGTATAAATTATATTGTGGGAAATATATATTTTTTTTTTTTATTCAAATATTCTTCGTTTGACAATTATCGGAAATATAAAGATACTCTTGGCGAAATTAATATTCTGTTTTATTATTAATATATATATATATGTTGGTTTCTTACATTATTTACATAAAAAGGAATTATTGTTATTGTTAAATAGGGTTAAACAACAGAAATATATTTCTCTTGGTATTCTTGTAAAGGAAATTTCTATATAATCCTATACGTTTCTATTATTATTAATTTTTAAATTGTTTTAAAATATAATTCAGAATTATACTATTTTTAAAAAATTAACTTTACGATAATTTTATTCTTTCTTAATTTCTCTTCGTGAAAATTAAAGATAAAGTTGTCCAAAAAATGTGATATATTTCACCAGATATCCCGACCCGAAGGAACGACCTCTTGAATTTTTCATCGGCAATTTGTTAAGCTTTCCCGCGGTCCGCGGCCGTTCACGATCACGGACAAACGTTTTCCCCGGCGGCGTTTCTATATGGCGTTACAAATCGGCCCGGGATTCCGGGCGTGCCGGCTGATTTGCGCTAATCTCGAGATCTGTCCATGACGGATTTGTCGCGGTCGAGGCCCTAAATGGCTCGCTCCAAAGTCGGAGGTACTTTTTCCCCCTGTCTGATTCTGATTTTCTGGTGTCCACGATACGTGATTCGCGATCAGGACCAGCACAGGCAATAAAAAAAAAGAAAAAAAAAGAAAAGAAGAAAAAGAAAAAAAAGAAAAACGCCGCGAAGTGTTGCGCAATCTCTACTCGCGAATCCACCTTGTTGTTGTTGTCCACCTTGTTTTTTCTGTCTATGGTCGTGATATACAAGCACAGCTGACTGAACCGTGTGCGACGCAATCGCCTCATGAAACGTGATTTATTTATTCAAGAAAAAAAAGAAGGATTTTTAAATGGTATTAAATTATAAGGATAATCTAATCTGAGGTAATTTCTGGTGAAAAAGACCAAATATATTATCAATTATTTTAGGATGAGATGGATTAGGATTGATTTCATTTTGTTTAGTAGTTTATTATATAAAAATAAAATCTTTTACTTCAGGAATAGTAACTATTATTTTAAATCGTATTGATTCAGGATTATTATTAATAATACGTTTTGTAGCTTGTTTTTGAAGATGAAATTTAATATTATATTTATAGAATATATAATGAATATATAATGATTTTTTTATTATTAATAGTCTTTACTAAAAGAGCTCAAATTCCTTTTTCAACTTGATTACCAATAGCAATAATAGCTCTAGTTTCATCATTAGTTCATTAATTCATTCTTCAACTTTAGTAACAGCTGGAATTTATTTATTAATTCGTTATACAGATTTTACAAGAGTTACAATTGGTTACAATATTTTTTAATTTCTTGTATAAATTAGATAAATGGAATGAAGTAATAATTCAATCGAATCGTACATCACTTTTTGTCAGTCATTTACATTGTATTATATATTTGAAGAAAATTAAAAAGGTAAAGATACTTTTTTAAACTTTTATCATCAAACAATTTTTACAAAAATTAGATTTTCACAAGAAAAAAAAAAGATCACGCGATACTTGTTCCAAACAAACTCTTCCATCATTCTCTTGCTCATCATCATCGCCTTAATAATTCCACGATAATTCAAATCCCACGAACGCTCAGCCGCACAAACCACTTACCATCCACGCGCATACTTCATAGGCGGAAGAGATCCAAGCAGCGCTATCTCCCGCGTGCAAACTCGATGGCACCGTGACCTCTTTCGCACACAGTCTCGATGACAGGCAAGGATCACCTGGCGTACCAGGAGTCTTCTTTCTCCTGAGCGTCTAAGATCGCAGGAGATTACCGTTTGGATCCGTTTTCATCCCGCTTTCATCATTTTACCACTTTGTCAAGGCGTTCGCCGTTGTTCCTGAATCCAGCCGATTAATCAACGCCATCTGCCGCCACTGAAAATCCTTCCGATTCCACGTTTCTCCTCCTGATCATCTCACGCCTCGTGGATCTCTTGTCGAGCCTGAGAGTCTGTTGCAATCGTTTCGAGGGAAAGAAAGAGAGAGAAAGTTGGTTGATACACGGTTATTCGTAACACCGTGTGATTCATCGATGACACACGACCGGATACTTTGATGAACGCGTTATATCGAAGGTTAAATTTGGGGCACACGGATCGATACCTGGCGGATGATTGGTCGATCTCCAGTTTGGAACTGATGTACCGTTACCGGTAAAACGCCCACGCGATAGTAGCATCAAGTGGAAGTGTTTTCTCGATGGAATCCATTTGGATCCAGTTTCTCCCGCAATCGAATAGTATTCAACGCTGATTCCGATACAAAACTGACTCTCCCGCGAGAGAAGTAAATTTTGGATTGCAATTATTTATACGTGTAATAATATGTAATAATATTTATTATTTTACCGAATATTTGTTGTTGATAAAGGAGAAAACGTGCACGAGGGACATTCGATTAGCTCGAACACGGAGAGGTCTCCGCGTCGTAAATTAGTTCACGATGCGCCGCTTTCAAGGCGGTTTTATCGTCGGCCGACAGGCGTTTAACTTTACGACCAGCCGCGCACAACGCTCCATCTTGCACCATCCACCTATCCACCCTTTCGTAGATCATGCCTTCGTCCCTTCCCCATCCTTCCGTAGAGGGATTCGTCGTGCTAATTCCCGTGAGACGCGTAACATTAACTTGACGTTTAATCCAAGCAAGAGAAATCTTGGCTTTTATATATATATATATATATATATATATATATATATTCACGCTATCATGGGGTCCTCGTATCTCCTACGTTAAAATGATAAATTGAAATTGAAACGAAAGCAACCGAAGCAAATGGCAGCCTTCAAGCTTTTCTTTCTTTCTTCTGTTCGCAGTCTTTCTTTGGGAGAACCTACAATAACTTAGGCAGTATATCCGAATGCAAGAACGGGGGAGTGTGCGTGATAAACAAGAAGAACCGTACAGCGTGCAAGGCGTGTCGCCTTCGAAAATGTCTGATGGTCGGGATGTCGAAATCCGGCTCGCGGTACGGCCGTCGTTCGAACTGGTTCAAGATCCATTGCCTTCTCCAGGAGCAGACGAACGGGAATCAGAGCGTGACGTCGGGCGGTGCATCCCCGTTTGGGCCCGGCTTTCTTCCGGGATTCCTGCCCCAGGCACCGGGCCAGCAAGCTAGCGGGATCTACAAGGACGGGAAGGATCGAGCCTCACCTAGTCAAGAAGACCTGGCCCTTCAATCCCACTTGTTGCACGTGGCGATGTTGAAACAGGAGCGGGACAGGGGGAACAAGTCCCCCCATCCGGACGACGTGGCGCTGCAGAATCAGCTCCGCCTGTTGGCATGGCAGAAAGAGCGGGAGAGGGTGGGTGGCAATCAACAGCCGCCCGGCACGCCGCCCAGGGACACTTTGACGCCGCCGTTCTACAAGCAGCAGCAACCTCAGCACCCCGTCTCCCCGATACTGCCCATGAACTTCACGCAAAAGGACGGTGTCCCTACCAGCCCGTCGGACGTGTTTCGACCTTTTCTACCCACCTACAAGAGGACAGCGGACACCCCGAGCGACAGCGGGGCGTCGTCCGTGGACGGGGGGGATGGCCAGGACACCGAGTCGAGGAGTAACTCGGCGTTGAGCTACTTCAAGGCGAGCACCTCGTCGCCGACCTTGTCCGAACGCGAGTTCCCGGCGAAGAAGATCAACGCCACCGTCACGTTGACGACAGGCTTCCATCCTCATTCCAGCCTGAGCCTGATATACCCGCCACCGGGTCTGATCACGCCAGCGGCGTCCCAACTCTCTCCCAGAGGCGGCGATCTTCTTCTGGTCAGCCCAAGTCCAGGTGGTCTAGCCGTTGAGCAGGACGAGCCGATAGATCTGAGCGTTAGATCGACGCGAAGCTCCCCGAAACCAAGTCAATCGGCAGAGGAGGAGAATAGGTCGAACGACGTCGAGTGCGATCGTGACAGCCCCGCGAAAGAGGAGACAACGACGAAGAGCAAGCCGTTGGACTTGACGTTAGGTGTGAAGAGGCCCGCGGAGTTGCCTATGTCGTTGTGAACGGTGACCTTCGAGGACGTACTTGAAGGATCACGATGGGCTGGTCCCAGAACCAGTATGGCGCGCAATACTGGATACGCATCCGAATGGTGTTGCCAAATCCTCGTTCGACCCGATTTCTTGAATCGATGGGTAATGTCGAAGTAAAGAAGGGTGTCGAAATACGAAGGAGAGAACACGTGGGAGCGAGAAGAGAAGTTGGAAGGAAGGAAGGAAGGGAATGGTGGCAGAAATCCATCGCGAAAATGTGTTCAAACTTGTACATACGTAAAACGACATCGATCCGATTCGGAAGACGAGAGAAATTAATTTATTGTTGTGACCGAATTATATATATATATATATATACGTGGATTGAGTAGTCTTTCTTCTTTTAATTCTTCGCTTCGGACGTTGTATCGCGTGCGCAGACGAGCAAAGAAGCAGGAGAACTAGGTGAAGTAAGTCCTTGTATAAAAGTAACAAAAAAAAAAAGACCATAAAGTCGCGGATATATCGGCCAGTAGTGGAGTGCCTTAATATAATATATTTATATTCCTAAATATCGTATATTGTATATGTATATTGTATACTTGGAATGGACCGCTTTAGAATCATTTTATTTTTTTATTGTTAAGCACGATCCCCATCGTGAATTATTAGTCATTCATCATCGTACAGCGAAATATATCGTGGTAAGCACGAAATCGATCGTCGATCAGTGATCAAATCACGACGATATAGGCCAGTTAATAAAATCGTGCGAGAGAGAGAGAGAGAGTGTATGTGTGTGAAAGAGAGAAAGAGAGAGAGAGAGAGAAAGAGAGAGAAGAGGAAAAATGGATGTAAGTTAAGAGGGGAGAGGATTGCGAATAAAAAATATCGCTTCTATGCTTCCGCTTGGATCTCTCGACTGGCGTTAATTGGCCAACGTTTTTATTCATGCTCTACTCTTTCAAGAATTCTTTATATTTCAGATTTATTTTTTTTTTTTTTTTTTTTTTCTGTACATAATAGCATGTAAGCGGTGAAACGCACGAGCGGCCAGTAACCAAACATAAATGCGAAATTAAAATATTTTTGTTTTATCTATTAAACAAGCTTCTGTGTAGTTTCTTCTAAAAAAAAAAAAACCTTTCTCTTCCTTCGTCACCTGTTTCGACGAAAATAGAGGAAATATAGTTGTTTTTCTCTGTGTAATACGATTTTAATTATACTTTATATATATTCTTCTGTCCATCCTGTCGTTCCAAATACATAATATCACAATTACCGCCTTCCTCTCTCTCTCTCTCTCTCTCTCTCTCTATGTGTAATTCCAAATTTCCAGGTAGTTGTTTCAAGCTAATCCTAAATGATTCTTCGGAAACTTTTCCAATTTTAACATCTCTCTAAATATTATTGAAAATTTTCAATTGATTTTTCAAATCAAAAATCATCAATTTAATCAAATGTCCCTATTACCTAGAATTATCTACATCTATGAAACTTTCTTTCAGGTATCATCCGTACCCTCTCACGAATTTCACTAAATTTCAACCCGGAATATATATATATGCAACATTCAATCCTCCAAAAAGTAGAAAGATCGATCGAAATCCGGCAACGGTTCCACATATTAACCTTGAAGATCGTTCGTCCACGCTTCGATTACATTATGCGTATAATATCCAAGCGTATATCTGTAGCGCAACGCATCGACTCATCGCCATTAATCAATTGCAGCAGGAAGCTCGAGAGCGTTGCAAAATCGTCGAGTTACGGATATCTGCCCACGCCGTGGTGGCCTTGCCGGGTCGAACGCGATCGTCGCCACTACCTTCTCGTGTCCCTCTTCTGTGCCGTTCCTTTGCCCCACGTGATGCATCCTCTTCGCGCAAGCCTCGATCATCGATGCTAATCGACCGTACGTCCGAGCGATAATCGTTTTACGTAACCCATCTAGAACCCAAGTAGATGAAGAAGAATTCTAACGAACCATTTAATTCACAACGTGAAGAGGCTTTCGTATTGTAAGTTTGACTAATCAGAAACAGGTGAAAAACAAGAGGTAAATGTTCAACGCATAGAACGAGATATATAAATATGTAATGTGAATAGATTTTAGATTCGTTAAGAAAAGTTCCTCGATAGGAAGAAGATAGGAAGAAAATTTTTCTGACGATTTCTCCTTACGTGTTATCACAATTCTCAATGAAACGAAGTGGAATTTGGAAACTATATCTGATAAAAAAAAGGATATACACGTTTCATTGGATATAGGAGCCTCGATAATAATTCCGTGAAAGTTTTGAAGATGTGCAAGTTGTGAAAGAAGTTCCGTTCGGTTTTGCCTTCGTTAGATGATCCAAATTCATTAGGGGCAACTTTCAAGGAAATGGCTATAACTCACCGTACGGTATGACGGTATGGCTCGTACGAGGAATCATTCATTTCACGCTGTAATGTATACGGGACATAAAGGGACCACGTTCCGCGCGCGCGGTAGGTATCGGCTCGAAAAAAGTGGTACACCCTGAAAAATCGCGGCTACGTCCAAGTCGATTTGTCCGACTAGGCGAACAGTAGAGAATACACGCACGGATAGGCTTTGTATCGAATATAGTATATATATATATATATTCGATAGTTATATCTAGTTTAGTCTCTGTCCAGCTCACCAGGGAATATTACCCAAGTATGTTCGAGATCGGTTTTGTTCTGTTATAAATACACGTATCGGCGAGAAGAAAGAGGGCGACGGATATATCGAGGAGTTTAGATGTGGAATTTTACTTGAGATTGATTAGTTTCTTGTTTGAAAGATTTCTCTTGGGGATTTCTTCTTTGGCGATGTTTCTTATTAGATACGTTTGAAATGTAAAGAATAGAGAGATCGATTGTGAAAAGTTTCGATTCCTGAACGATGTCAAAAATTTCATCCTTTTACTTCCTTTCATTTCCTTCCCAATTTTTAATTAATTTCAACTTAACGATACAATAAAAAATATTAATAATTATTCCAAATTGTTTCCAGACTTTCTTACCCCCTTACACGACAGAAAAGATATTATCAGAATAATAACTTCAAACAATCTAGATATTCGCCATAATTTAATCTGTTATTCTATTTATTCAAAATTATCATTATCCAACTCAATATCCATCATTCAAACTGCCCTCGAGGTATCGGGATATCTTAAATCATCTGAAATCAACCAATCTGTCTTCCTCCTCAAAACTCTCCATGCTTTCTCCAGATCATCCCGCGCTCCAAGGGGATCCCAAGCTCCACGCTCGGATAATGTCTCACGTCAGCGTAATGTCCACGGAACCGTGTGGATACGGTGCGTCAATCCACTGACGACCGGTTGCTTAGATCCGTCATGACTCTATGCATGAGAGAGGTTGGCCAATATTGGGGGACGATTTTACCGGGCTCTTGCCGAGTGAAATATCGACGACGAGCCTCCTGGTTGCTGGTCAACTATCCGGAGATCGACGTTCGCTCGTTCGACTCGCGCTGCGGGAGAAACTGGAGCGATCTCGAAGATCTCGAGAGGAGAAGATTGAGCCTCTGCCGAAAGAATCGTATAACTCATAGAGATGAAGATTTAGAGATCTTGGATTTCACTTGGAGGTGAGTAATTGATATGTGGATTGATGAATTGATGGCTGAGGATTAAGATTCTGTGCGGAAATCTTGTTTCAATATTTGATATTGAACGAAGAGAGATTTGAATATTAAGGGGCAACGATTTAATAAAAGTTACTTGGAATTACTTCGTTTTATAAGTTACGAGAGATATTGTCTAAGGATAAATTTATAATAATATAAAAGAGATAGTAAGATAAAAGGATTTGAAAATGAAATTGAATTACTACTATTATTTGATTTAAAAAGATTCTTCGATTAATTTACACGAATCAAAAATCTATTACGAACGCTATTGTACACACAACGGCTTCTTGAAGATAAACTTCGTCAAAAAATGATCCTCGAAACGAGACCAACATCTTCAAATAGGAAACTCGATGATTACCGGTCAATCGCGGAGAGCGTCGATCGATATTCCACGCATCGTGGCTGGATCGATTAAGGAGAACTAGCGTCGACGTTGATAGGTTCATTTGCACGAAACAAAAAAGCACGGAGGGCTGAATGCATTGTTGTGTTGGATTCTCGAGACGATACCGGAAGCGCTTTGGGACGCGCAAGAAGGCGATCGAGCGAGATAGCGATACAATTTTCCGGTCGTGGCCGTGTTCTCTTTCGTGTTCATAGGGGAAGGTCTGCGAAAGGAGAGACGACGGTTGTATAAAATACGAGAAACGGGGAAACATAGCGCACCGGTGCTTCGATGTCGACAGCTCTCCGGGGACCTGGAAGTCCATCGGACACGAGGAGCCATTGATCGACCACTCACTCGCGTTCTACGCGGCTTGAATAAGAACTATATACGCGAGCTTGAGTATACACGACGAGTCTTCTTTCTTTTTTTCTTTTTTTTTTTTTCTCTCATCTTTGGTATTTTATTCATTTTTTCCTCCCTCTCTTTCCTCCCCTCTAACTAAGAGAATTAAGAGAATTAACGATCGAAGAGGGGATCGAAGTGGAAGGAGAGGGAGAAGGAGGAGAAGGAGGAGGTAGAGGACGAGCGTAATGAGCCTTAATCGATTACGACGAACGCGTACTCTCTCGTAACGACTCTCGGCCGCGATAGCGGTGAGTAATGAGCCGTGTCCTAGGATGAGTATTATTTTATACTGTGTGTGTGTGTGTGTGTGTATGTGTTGATAAGATTGCTTCGATCGAGAAAATACGATTTTGATGAGGTTTGGCGAGGAAAAATGGAGAATCTTTGGTTTATTGATTTCATGATATATGTCAATATTATACACCGATTTAACGAATATGCGATTATTCGTTTAATTTCGTCTTAATTATTCTCATTTTTTATTTTTTAATAATCCCTTGATGCGATATTTTTTATCTAATATTTGTTAATTTCTTTAAAATTTTTATACCGTATATAATATTGTTACGAGTTATTTAAAACCAATAATATAATAATATTATATCGTATATATATAATATTGTTACGAGAGTTTAAAATCATAATATTATGGCCATAATATTACGGAAATATAAATCGCAATAATATTACGGCCATAACATTACGGCAATATAAATCGCGACACGGGAAACGATAACATCAAACGTTATTCGTATTCAAAATATTATGATTCAGTCGTTTTTCGAGCACGGAGCGGAACGCTCGTGTTGCTTTCTGTTTCTCGCGCGAATATTATATCGCTCGTTAAATAAATTACTATCGCGTAAATAATTAATTATAAATAAATTATTGTGACTATCGCGTTGAAAAATTTACCTACGTGCATCAAAAACTGGAACGAAATTGACGAATAAGATAAACGAAGTGCGTCAAATAAATATCTTCAACAATTCTTCTCCCCCCCCTCCAAGAAGAAGAAAGTAATATAACATCGTTACAATCTTCCAATTCTCCTCGACCATCATCATCTATCAATCTATCCCTCGAAACCCTCGAATGGAAAACTGCAGTAGGAATCGATAATCCCATAAAGAGCGATCGACACTGTCAATTGGATCGATTGCTGGATCCAGATTTCGATAGTCAAATATGGCCGCTTCCTGCATGGCCATATACGCGATTCGTTGAAGGAAAGAGGGATACACGCGGGGCGACATCGACGGACGGCACGACGAAGAGGCGAGGAGGAGGAGGAGGAGGAGGAGACTGAACCGTGGCGTGCACGGAGAGCGTTAGGGGTTAACGAGGGCCGATCGTACGATCGGTCGATCTTTCCCAAGAGGCAAGGCGGCCCAATTAGAAGGCACGTAAAAGCCGGGCGCATAATCAGCAATTTGTATTGTCGAGGGATAAGGCTCGACTCCTTTACAACCGACTCTCTTCCCTATCTCTCGGCCTCCGCTCTACCTTCGTCTATCCACGATACGGTACGTACATGGTATCGTCCCGTATCGTTCGCGAGTTCCCTCCCAGGCTTAATCCCCTGTTCTCCTCCGACGCCGAACACCACTTTGCGGAATAACTTCATACGCTAGACGAGAAGAACACGTGGGGAGGGGTGTGGGGCCGAGGGATGTCGATTAAGCTGTGCAATCGCCAATTATAGGCAATTTGATCCGGTTATAACTCAATTTATAGTAATTGGATCGCGTCTCTTTTCTTTATCCTCTTCCCCTCCCCTCCCCTCCTCTCCCTTTTCCGTTTAAATTTACCTCATGAAAGTGTATGTAAATGGGTTCGATATACCGTGTTACTTCGAGTAACTCTCGAATGATGAGATGGGAAGACGTGGAGGTTAATTTTTCGATCGAAAGAAAATAAAATTTAAATGTGTATGCGATGTGTTTGTGATGTAAGAGGATACAGCGTTCCCGTAGCCGGATTCTAAATACTTTTCCACGCTTCTACGAATAACAAGGGTCCTCTTAAAAAGGATCTCTTTGGCGTAAAAATATATGAATTTTAACACGTTGATCTAAATATTTATTGCATGTAAATTAGAATTTATATCCGCGTTGTTCTGAATATTTTCGGTAAAGAAATGTGATAAGAAAACGAGAGAAGAAGAAGAAGAGGAGGAGGAAGAAGAAGACATCGCGTATTACGTTACATAGATCCCCTAGCTTTTATCGCTTCTCGATGATCGTAAATTGAGAATGGGGTGAACGTGCACGCGTACGTGATGTTCCACGATCGGGAAAAGATACAAGGTGCGTGATACAGCCGACCTAGCACGCAGCGGAACGCGCGGTTCCTCACTGCGGATGCAACCGCCACTTATATACCGGGAAAAACGAAACGTCTTATTATCCGTGTGCTGAAATTTTTCGGATAGATTGTAGCTCGAAGAGAATCACCGGTTCTGTTATTTCATCGGGATCGAGGCGACCAGCTGCTCAAGCTTGACGAGCAGTTGATTTAGTGATTTTTGGAGATAGTGATACGTTCCAGAATTAACCTGTGAAACTGGAATGTTTGGAACAGTTTGAATGGATTCTGGTTTTTTATTTTTCGTCCTTAACGTACGAGGATAATTGCTACGAATAAAGATAATACAAATTATCCCCTCTTCGTTAATTCTTCAATTCAATTCTTTTGCTGAAAATATCATTTCTTCGTTTATTCTTCGAGAACACGAGATTCAGGGATCACGTTGTCGTTCCACTTTCGTCAAGATTTTTATTCTAAATTCGTCTCTTCGCAAATTTCACGTATCGCCGCGTATTATACACAAAATTCATCTTCTCGTTCTACACGTTTCAAATTCTTCTTCCGAAATATCATTCTTCATGCTTGAAAGATGAAGAAGAAGAAAAAAAAAGACTCGTCCCTTCACAAATTCACGAATACCATTCCATCCGCGTCGAAAGAAAGATCCCTGCCCTCTCGCAACCCTTTAATCAGCCCCTGAAACCGCGCTCAGCCCCTAAACCTCAACTTTCATTTTTAATACGCACCGACGCACCGTCACGCTTCCACTATATAATCCTATTCAATATCCACCCACGCAATCCATCCCAAAATTACCTTCGAGTACCTTCCAAGTCGCCGAATTTTCGATCACGCGTGCCGTGAACCAAAGATCCGCTCGACATCCTCTCCCCTCCCCTCCCCTCTCCCTCAAGACCTCTTCTTTCCCCTTCCCGAGCTCGATTTCGCGTTTCGCAACTCCATGGCTGATCGTTATGTCCGCGGCCGGTTCGCGCCCGTTGACAAATTTGACAAGACACGCAATCGATCGTTCTTAACCGGTGCTAATCGATACAGCGATCGGTTCATTAGGCGGATCAGGCTCGTTTCTCCCTGCGGCCGGAGCGCAATCGAGCGCAATCGAGGTATTGGCTTTTCGATCACGTCGGCTCTCACGGAAATCTCGCCGATTGCGCCGCGGCCTTCCTTCTTCGACGTTGTCGCGCACGTTTTCCAACCGATCTTCCACATGG